ATTTGAGTAAATATATTTGGACAGACTTCAGGTAAGTTATTGATAAAAAGAGAGAACAATAAGGGCCCAAGAACAGAGCCTTGAGGAACCCCTGTATCACAGTCTAAATATGGAGATTTAACCCCATCCAACACCACACACTGTTTCCTGTGTGAGAGATATGAGGCAAAGCACTGAAGAGCCTGACTGGAGATATTAAACTGAGTCAATCTGGGCAACAATATCTGATGGTTTACAGAGTCGAAAGCCTTCTTCACATCTAAAAATACAGCTCCAACACAGGGACTCTTGTCCAGCAAGCTCTTCAAGTTCTCCACTAACATACACAGGGCAGTATCTGTGGAGTGATGTGCCCGAAAGCCAAATTGCAATGGATGTAATGAGAGTTGGGTGTTTTCTAGGTGAGCAGTGAGGAGTTTAACCACCCACTACCTCATTTCAGGAATCAATGAGCGCACAAATTGTCCCGTACCACCCACCATATTCTTCTGATCATCTTCAGCCATCTTCAGCCTCTTCTGAGCTTCCTCATAAGCCTGTGGAGAACAAAACAACAGGATAAATATTTACCTGCGTGAGACACGAGGTCATCTGTGAAAGACCGTAAAAGAGCTGCGTGCCCACCTTCTTGTCCGTCCTCTCGGCTATGTTGCGCGTCTTCTCCTTGTCTTTCTCCCTCACTCGCAGGGCAAACGCATCCCTCTCCTCGATGTCTTGCAGTCGCTCTCTCTCTTCCTTCTCCCACTCTTCCTCTTCCTCCTCTTCTCTCTTTACGGTCTTGTGGTCCTCTTGAATCGACTTATCCCTGATGTTAGAGAACAGGATACATAGTTTTACACTGGTGTCTATCTCTCCTCCTCCACAACTAAAAATAAATATGAATGTAAATTATCGTAATAAAAAAAACAACAAAAAACAAAAAAGCACCAACATCTTAAAAAAGGAGAAAATAAGCAGATTACCTTTTAGGTGCTTCCTCCTCGCTGGACGACTCGCTGCCTTTCTTCTGTCTGATGTGCTTCCTCTTGTTCCCGCGTTCCTTGTCTTTGCTTTTCTTTTTTCCTTTCTGTTTCTCCCGCGCAGCATCTTCATCGGCATCGTCGCTGTCCTCCAGTAACGTGTACGTCCGGTTCTTCCTCTCCATTTCGATCGCTTGCCGTTCCACCACTCGGGACGGTTTCTCAACAACCTGTTTATGAGGAACCTGCAACAGTAAAACAACATTAGAGGGTTTTTTTAAACCACCAGAGCTAAAAGAAAATGAGTTTTGGTGAACGTCACAGGGAACTCGGGTAGAATTTCATGAATGAACCTTTTCAAAGAGTTCCTTTGCGAAGGCGGCCACACTCTGGTCGATGTCAATCGTGCCCGTCTGCTCGAGACGAGCCACAAAGTCTTC